TCCTCTCCCTCTATACAGGAGCTGGCTGCGTTCCTCTCGAGGCGAGCCACTACTGCTGCGAGGCTCTTAGAGGAGTTTGAAAGGGGCCGTCCGTGGTCCTGAGACAGGGCCTGGAACAAATAACAAGGGTTCATTTAGGAAATCAAAATCAAAGGCAACTTTATTGTCAATCATTCAGTTTGTGTGTACAGACAGAGAGATCGAAATACTGTTTCCCACAATCCCAAATACAATAAATAAAATCCTCAGAACTGTTACAGGATGTGTATTTTGTAAATTGTTTTTTATTATAATACTTTTTTATGCATGCTTCTTAGGTAGCATTAAGCTGTCTTTGGCTCTTTTCTGCTGTAACAATGTACATTTCCCCTCTGTGGGACTAATAAAGGTATTCTGATTCGGAAAAACAAATATATATACAAATATGTATATACCTATATATACACAATCAACAGACACATTTATACACATGCACACATTAAGACATAAATAAAAGCACAATAATCAATATATACAAAATAACAGTCACTTCAATAACTTTGAGAAATGTACATTAGTGCAAGACTGTCCATAGCAGCGTAAAAAGTGTCTGGTGCTGGATTTGAGTGTGTGAGAGTGTGTGTGTGTTGAGTGTCTGAGTGTGTGTGGTGTTAAAGTCCAGTAGGGGCGGTGGGGGCGGGGGATACAGGCCGATGTAGTGACATTGTAAAAACTTTAACAAGTTGATCATTAAAACACAAAACAGGTGTTTGGAAGAGGGCCTAATACACTTTAACAGAATATCTCAACGGTCTGCTACATCAGTGCACTTAATGTGAGATGTTGTGATTCAGTTTAACACTTAGCAACAACAGACTGACTGTCAACAGTTTGTTTTGACTGTTGATCTCACAGGAACTGGGAGAAGAGGAGTCAGCGAGTTCTTTGATGAGCCGCTCAGAGGATTTGTCTGTGGAAGGGCAGCTGTCCAGAGTGCTGAATTTGTGTTAATCCAGCATATGGTAAAAATAGCGTGGGGGATTTTGGGTGCCAGCCAAGCTTATTGAAGTGTAACAAAGTTTAGCCAATAGATAGCTTAGATACAAATAATGATGTTCCTGTGTATGCATCAACATGACTCATGCTGTCATACATGTTCCCACAGTTAGTGTTGATATAAGTGTGATTCAATGAGGAGAACATATTAAGGGTCCTTAGTGACACGACACAAGACGGTCAATATAAGTGGGATACTTCATCAGAAATGCACTAATCTGAGCCACCTCAAATACGGTTGATTTTAAGTTGTTATCAATCAATCAAAGTTTATTTTATTTAATGTCACACATTTTAGATTTTTCTCAGTGGACTTTACAGTTTGTAGAGAATATGAATACCACACCCTCTGTCCTTGGACCCTCACATCGGACAAGAAAACCCCCCCAAATAAAAACTCCAATTAATGGGAGAGACCCCCCAGTTAATGGGAGAGACCCCCCAGTCAATGGGAACATTGATAAAACTTCTGGGAGAGAAACAGAGGAGGGATCGGAAGTGCAATAGCTGTCGTGTGTCAATTGAAAAGATAACACATACATATTACATAATTAATTGAGCGTCTTTGAGCATTAGGAAAAGCGCTATAAAAATCCCATGTATTACTATTATTTATTATTATAATATATTGATATACAATATACCATAACAAAGTTTTAATTGACTCGTTCTACAGTATTATTAGATAAGATCTTTCAGTGTAAACAAGGGGGAAGTTTGATGGATTTCATCACTGGTGTCACTATAAGCACAACTTGGTGTATTATGAAGTGTGATATCTGATCTACGTGAGCCTACCTTTTTATGTCTGAGTGGCATTCTCTCCTCTCCAAAATTGTTCTCAATTGAGTTTCCTGAATTCTTGATGGACATCTTGGGAATTTTCATCTTCTTTTGCATTATACTGTCTTCAAATTCCTCTACTGTATCTGTGGAGTGCAGAAATAAGAAGCAGGGAGAAACTCATAAAGTTTTCAAAAAGTTTTCATGAAACTTAAAAAAGTACCTGCAGAATTATTTCATCCATTTGTCAAACTGGAGCAGAGGGCGTTTGGTCTCTCCATTCTGCTACAACAAACTAACTGTAGCACCCTTAGCATAGAAGTTAAATGTAAGATAAACAGATACACATAGTCCTGGCATCATGGCTGTAACACAGTGTCACTGCTGCTGTGTGAGGTGTGTTAAACAGGTCGGTGAGGACCAGACAGCTCAGTTTGGGGATTAGTGATGCAGCTAAGAACGGAAAACCACCGTGAGCAAACATCACTGAGACTAACGTTAAGCATGTTATTTTACACCACATCACATGTATGCGCTGTCATGAAGCAGCCATGACATGTCACTGACAGCTATATATGTCCATTAATATCTGGTGATGACTGCAGCACCGCATCTGCTCTGTGGCATAAACCAACAGATAAGCTAACAAGCTAACCGCAAACCAGAAAAGGGGCTTCAGCTACAGTCTAGTCTACATGTCTAGACCTTTAAAATATACATGAGGGGTCCAACACTGTCACATGTGTTTACCATGTTGTGACGCGGCTGCTAACTAGCGCGTCAGTGCTAACATGCTAACGCGGAACGAATACACATGAAGCTAGCAAGTGTTAGCTGCGTGTTGTAAACAACCGAGGTGCCTGTGCAATGCCACGTATCAAACGACACAAAAACTAAACAAAACAAGCACTCAGGGAGAACAACACCCTGAGTGTTTATAGTCTGCATTGCTGTCAAGGTATGGCTACCTACCAAACTTATCTTAGCATATCTCACTAGCTTATCTAGCTAGCCGAGGACGTTGTTGTGGCTTCAGTGTCAGACAGCTGATCACGTCTCTGACAGATCGGATGAAAAAAGGACCGGCTTTGACACCCTGACACGTTCCGCGCACGTCAACGTTACTTAGTGATGAAAAAAGAGCATTCAAACGGAGAAAAGCTGATGTGTTAAGAGGTTAACTTACCTGCAAGGGCAAGGATCTGCGCTTCGCTCGGCTGGCCTGCACTGCTGCCATTCTCTTCAGTTCTGTGAACCAGATACACCTTCTGATTATCAAAATCTGTCCTGTGCAGAGGTCTGAAATCTTCCACTGTAGAAACGGGCAACGCGTAGCACATATCGTCTTCAAAGAATCTAACAAAAGCATACATTATTTACTTCTCTTTGGTCCTGCACTTTGGATATGGTTGACAGTTTTTCCTCACAAAGTATTACAAAAAAACAAATACACATAGGGGGGTTGGGGAGGGTGTCTGCGCTCGGCTACTCTTGCCTGGTCCACATCACCAGGGAAGATCATCAAGGCATGAGTAATAGACATAACATCAACTTTACTGTAAGATAAGTATTAAAAAACTACTTTGATGTATTTATTTAAACATTTGAAACACTTTATTCATAGCACCTGTAGTGTAATAAATAAATAAAAGAGGCCATAAGACTGATCCTGAAGTCACCACTCACCATTTTTATAACAATACTTATAATACTGTTTATTTCAAATATCCACATATTAATATCATTACAGTATACAGTATTTATTCTACTGTGTATTATTTCTGCTTTTATCTTATTCTATCTTACATGTACATAGTTGACTTATTCCTGTATTTTACTTGCACCATTTTTCATTGCACTATTTCACTTCCTTATTTATTTCGTAATAATATTGTATATTGCACTGTTGATTCGGCCTTGGGACCTAACATTGTCATTGCAATCAACTAGTCTTTTGTGCAAATGACAACATTTGAATCTTTAAATCTTGAATAATAAATGGGTTTTTGATTTTTTAAGATATCCAAAATAAGGTTGAGTTTCAAGAATAGTTTTTAAAAGGATGAAGCAGGACATTACAGCTGTCATGATTCATTGTGATCAATTAAGACACCAATTACTTCTCACTCTAAGGTCATTGTTTCGGGGAATACCCGGTCAGATCTCAGTGTCTTTCTGTGTGCTTTCATGTGTTTCTGGTGCAGCTTCTCCTCTGCTCCTCGCATCACAACAGAAAGACTTGAGGCCAGCTGACAGAAATGAACTCTTTGTTATTGTAAGACATTCAGGTGGTTATAAACACGGGATGGATCTCTCTCAGTTGTTTCTCTAATGGAGAGCACCACAGTCGATAAATGACACTAACAATTTCGTTCTGCTTCGGCTGCTGTAATTGAAAAGTAAGTGATGCAGAACTTTATAAAGCCTTTTTCCCCCCTCTGATATTTCCTTTCATAGTTTCAGACATTTAGTTAGTTATGATTAGGCCTGTTTGAAATGCCAGCTTCCCTCTGATGTTTGTTCAGTGTGCTGTATGACCGCTTCCAGAGTCTGTTAGATGTATACAAGATAATTTAGAAACAAACAAACAAAGCAATAACCATAACTCTCCAAACATAATAAATGTCATTATATGTCAGTTATTGGAGCGGTGTTTTCAATACAAGGGAGTTGTTACATGCTTTGCTTTCGAATAGCTCACTGAAGCACACTTACATATATTTACAGAAGCTACATCGTGCAATAAATAGTATAATTAGAGTACTTTTAGGCATGGTAATTCCTGTACAGTATATCAACGCACTGACGCTTTGGCAGATTGCCTGAAACTATATCAGGAATGAGAGTGATGGACAAGAGATTGGAGAAGCTTCTGAACAAGTCGAACAGAGGATTACTGCTAATCTGATCTTCTGTTCGATGGCTCTCCTGTGCTCGTCAACATGACGCTGCTCACTTCCTGCAGTCTTTCAAGTGGCTGGAGTTTAAAGAGGGACACTTGTCAATTTAAAAGACTGGTGTGATGTTACAGCAAGTTCAGTCAAAATGTAAACTTAAAAACGACATTTCCTAAATCCTTGCACGTTCATGTAGACGCAACAAAGATGGAAGTCTGCCTGGAGACAAGTTGACGAAGTTGAGCGACTTAGATTTATTTTATTTGACGGATGTTTCTTCATGTGACAATGACATTTCCATTTACAACAGTATACCTGCATCCTTCCAGAAACAACTTCCAATTGGTCAAACTAAAGTGAACTCCCCACAATGCATTGCTTTCATTTAATTATTAACAATATTGCCTAAGACAGCAAGTCCCAGTGGCGGCAATGACTTTTTATTTTTATATAAATATTTATTAAATAGTTTTTTTCCAAAATGGTGTAACTGTCACAAAACTCCCCCCAGGAAAAATAAATTATTCACATTCTGATCATGTTGCTTTATTTTCTTATTAAATCAAATAACTATTCATATCTTACACTTTTTACACTTTTTTTAAAAGTATTTTAATACTTTCTTATTTAGTTTTTAGCTTGTTGTAATTTGTATTTTCTTGGCTTTCTGATGACTGTTTTTGAATCTAATTGTATAATGTGTCTTAAGGCTTTTATGGTTTTTGTTAAGCACTTTTTTACATAATTTATAAAACTTGCTATAATCTAATGACTAACACACATTCCTGTTCATGCCAATGTCCATTGAACAGTTGAAAATACTTTTCATGTCTGATCTCCTACACTACATCATGTCAGCTGTTGTTGAAACTATTCTTATGCACTTAAAGTCTCACATGAACTCATGTGCTCCTTTTACCTCATTGTCATTATTTCATGCTACGTTGCTCCACTGCACGGCTCATAGTCTGCAGGTTACATTCAATATGGCTTTTCTTCTGGATTATCTAAACAAAAGCAACATTTCAATGACTGCAGCCACGTGTTAAAACATAAAAAACCCTAGGATGGATGTTACATTTCAGCCTCTTAGGGAGAAAACTGATTTATTTAGGACCAACAACCAATGGGGCAAGCTATTGAAGTGCGTCACAGCTAAACTAGTAATGTACTGTCATTTTGACACATCCCATGTCCAGCCGCATGTTTTTATTTTTGCCAGATTAGGCTCAAGACTCCTTTCAGACTTTTACATTACAGTCAGTCAGAGGCTTTTAATGAGAAAACATTGAACATATAAGAGTAAGAATGCACTCGCACACACACGCACGCACACACACACACACACACGCACGCACGCACGCACGCACGCACGCACGCACGCACGCACGCACGCACGCACGCACGCACGCACGCACGCACGCACGCACGCACGCACGCACGCACGCACGCACGCACGCACGCACGCACACACAACACACACACACACACACACACACACACACACACACACACACACACACACACACACACACACACACACACACACACGCACGCACGCACGCACGCACGCACGCACGCACACACACACACACACTTAGGTAAAAAATGACCTTTCCAAATCCATAACGGTTTTCAATTATCACACTTTAAATACCAGTTAAATGCTGTGGGTCTGTTGTTGGGTGTTTACTTTTCAACATTACGGGAATTAAAAGCACAGCTGCTACGAGGTTAATACATCCAATCAGCTCTTTGTTTTCATAAATAATGACTTTAACAAACAATATCCACACTGAATTGTGATAAACTATTGACATGCTAAAGGTACAGTGACTCATTCATGCTAAAAAGAATATCTCTAGATTGTATTTTAGTTATATTTTCGTCTGGAGCCATTGATTGGGTAAAGCCTAGCGTCAGGACAGGAGCCAGACATCATGTCCTGCCTATTAGCTCCACACTGCCAGGCTCATCTATCTTTATTGGTCATCCATTAGCCTGTATTAAAGGGAGACACGGGATAATAGCAGTAATGATGCTGATGATGGAATTAGACTGCGGGTACACACGTCATCGATGCAGTGTTGCGCTTGGAATCATAAAGAGTTCAGACAGATGGACGGACGGATGAGATAAACGAGCACTTTTTAAGTTTCCTATCAGGGTATGTGTGTAAATATGCGACAAAGAAATAAAAGAAAGCAAGATGAGACCGTGCAATTTAGGTGAAAAATGTCTGCGGCGTCAACTTAACGGCTCGTAGACAGTCAATCTAAAGGCAGCACCTGTGCCAATGTGCAGGACGGACAGATGCTGGTACAGGTGTGTGTGTGTGAGTGATGATGGTTGGCAGGGGCGAGATCCAGCCTGAGCAGCAACACACACACACACACACACACACACACACACACACACACACACACACACACACACACACACACACACACACACACACACACACACACACACACACACACACACACACACACACACACACACACACACACACACACACACACACACACACACACACACACACACACACACACAAATGACGCTGCCAGGCATTAGACAGCCGCGATGGAGGGATCATTAAGGCGACTTTCGGCAAAGATGCTCTAAGATCAGCGAGAGCAAAATGGAGATATGGGTGTGACGGATTCTGAGGAGTCTTTTATGGTCAATGCGCCTCTGCGATCAATCACAACTGTTTACAATCCAGGGTAAAAAAGCGTTTCCCTCATTCGGTTGGAGGCACGTCACCAGTCTTTCTCTTATTATGCCTCTTAATTAGCTTCGCATGAATTACTAATCAACCATGAAGAAGGCATTCACCAATTTGAAAAGTGATAGCCCATGAAATGAACAGCACAGCCTCAAACAGGCACATCAGTTACTAATGCTGCCCATACAGACCTTTGAGCAAAAGAGAGAGACACACACACACACACACACACACACACACACACACACACACACACACACACACACACACACACACACACACACACACACACACACACACACACACACACCACACACACACACACACACACACACACACACACACACACACACACATCTAAAAGCAGACGTTATTGTGAATAAATCCTTCATTAAGTATTTAGAGTGGTAGCAGCGCTGGCCGTGCCTCATGCTGTGTTTAGTCAGTGATCCACCCAGGAGACATTGATCTTCTTCATAAGAAACATAATGACCACCAGAGAAATACTGATCATATTTCAGCTCCAGTCAATTCAGTTCATTAGGGCCGCTCTACCTCCAACTGCGGCCCAGTATTGATCTCTCCACTGTCACCACACTGTTATTCTGCACTAACTAGATAGGGAACTCGCAGAAGTGTAATTTATACAGCGGGAACAGCAAGAGGAACAACAGACATACAGGGAACAAACAAGCATACTGAATATTTCCACTTCTGTGAAAAACTGACTGTCTCTGTGTCCTTAGATTTCGCAATCGTATACATTTAAAAAAAAACTATTTTACAAGTATAAGTCCTTTATTTAACTTACTTATTAAAAGTACCAAAGTATTGGC